TGGGGTGGACCGCCATGAGCGGCTATGCATGGGGGGTCTACGACTCTAACAAGTCTCTAAGGGGTGCGGCAAAGACGGGATGCCGTGAATGTGTGTGTGTGTTTTTTTTCTTTGTATCTTTATTTCTACCTTTGTGTTTGTTCCTTCTCTTGTTCTTGGGGGGGACCGCCATGAGCCGCAATGCAGGGGGGGTCTAGGGGGTGCGGCAAAGACGGGATGCCGTGGAATGTGTGTTGATTTGTTTATTATTTTTTTTCTTTCTAGGGGTGTTGTATTTTTTTTTTGTCTCCAGGGGTCTTTATGTTTGTTCCTTCTCTTGTTTGTCGCTGTGGTTGTTGTGGAACTTGTGTTCGTTCCTGTCACTGTCCATCTTTTACAGGTTGATTCGTCGGTTGTTCAGTAACTTCGGTGCAGTTCTTTGTCGTTGGCGTCGAAGTTCGTTTCAGTTCACCCCTTCTGCGGATTTCATTCGGTCTCCACAACATGTCTGACCCTCGAGGCAGTGACGGGAAGGGCCCCGCGGAGTCCTCCTCGGCAACTGGGAAAAGGGCGGAGGGTAGTAGAAAAGGTCACAAGACGAAGACCTTTGACTCCCCTCTTAAGGTGGATCCAAAGGCGGATGGAAAAAGAGATGATCATGTTTGGCATTTCGTTGCTCGTGGTCGTTATTTAGATGGATCCACTGCGATCGGGAGGAAGAACGGTCGTCGTTGTTTGTGCAGGTTATGCGGTCGTTCTCTATGTGGGGGTGTGCTCGTGAGGCGAAGGAACACTTTTTTCGTGGCGAGGAGTATAAATGCCAAGTAGCCACTCCGGCGGTGTGGCACGCGATTTGGTCAAAGGATATGCCCAAGTGTCCTGCACATTTGGCTTTTGCCGTGCAGGCCTTGCAGAGTCTCCCTCTAGGTCATCCCTCTTTTCAATGGCCACCTCTTCGTTTTCCCGATAACGTCGTTCCGTCGACCGCTGCCGCCTCGCAAGTGGCGCCATCTCCATGTGCACCACTTGCTCCCCTCCCCCCTCGTCCGCTTCGTCAGACGATTCCCGCATCCGTTGATGGCAGACCATTTGTGGCAACGCAGCCTGATGCGCAAGGCACCGTGCCAGTTTCAGGTGTCGGGGAACCTGTGCCGTTCGACGAGCAAGGCACTCGTGCTTTCGTCGAGGGCGGTGGGTGGGGGAAGGACGCTGGCACATCATCAGGCGTCGCCCCGTTGTTCACTGGCAACAGGGATAAGGTCCCCAGAGTTCGACGCACAGACACACGTCCGGCCGTGGCAGGAGCACCCGCAACAGGACATCAATCCGGTGCGTATCCATGGTTGCCTCCCCCTCCTTCGCAAACACGACGGCCTACACCAGACTTGACTTCGGCACCTGTTGGCGAGGCCACTGCAACGGCCACTGAGGGTGCGGGAAACGTCCAGCTCGACGAGCCCGTCCARGTTTCGGATTCGTCACCCACTCCTGTGCCCGTGAACGGCCCGACCTCGCAGCACGGTGTTTTTGGGACACTGGATCCTTTACAGAATCTGCGCAACATTGCAGCTCCGAGTCCAGGCCCCACCGCATAACCTGCGGCCGGGGGCGGGGTGTGGGATTCGCTAGGTATGGGCGTCGGTGCACGAGTGAGGGGCACTTACAGGCAGCAGGCGGTGATCTTGTATTACAACGACCCGCTGGAGCACGCATGGCACCTGCAGATCATGCGATTCATTGTCGAGAGCGGCATGCCGTTCAACTGTGTGAAGCTTGAGAGCTTCAAACGCATGTTGACGTTGATCATCCCGCCTGGGGTCCAGGAGTCCCCACCCCAAAACCCCCAACGTATCACATGATCCGTACCACACTTTTGGATGAGCTTGATGTGGAAGTCCAAAAGTGTATGAAACCTGTCCTCGCTACTGCAGCTACCTACGGTTGCACGATAATGACAGACGGTTGGACGAACATTCGGGGCCAAACGTTGTGCAACTATCTCGTCGGCACKACACGGGGCGCCACATACGTCGCRACAGATGTTATGCGAGGAAAGAAGGATGCCACTGCTCTGGCGCAGGCTTGGCTGCGAAGGTTGAAGTCCCTTGACATCAAGCTCGCCGACATCACCGCTTTCGTCACAGACTCTGTCAGTTCGAACGTTTCTGCGATGGAGGTGTTCCAGAAGGATGAGAGTGTCAAGCACATCTTCTGGATTCCTTGTGTGGCACACGT